AGGAAACAGAGGAATAAACGCTACGCTTGTTACATGGCTGTAGACTCTGCCTTTAAAGTAAGGCACTCCTTGCTGATGACATAGAAACGGAGATGAACACCGCACCATCATCTTCATGAATCAAAGGGCGCCAAGATGACCAAACTGAAGGAAGACTGAAATTCCAACGGTGACGAATCTTCCTTTTCTTCCTTTCTACCTTCTGAACAGTGAATAATCTTTCTCTAAAAAGAAGTGTAAAGATTCATAACCTTGGTTTGGTAAACTGAATTACCTGACTAGCTGAAAAAATCGAACTAGCAAAGTATCCGATGCATCTCCATGTTGACAAACCGCCGGGAAAACCTTCCCTTTCATAATTTGCATTAGTTCATTGATTATGATGAAGCAATGACGACAGTAACGAACGATTGAGTTTGGGCAGCGCATGAATAGGCATTCCCAATTTAAAGGGCAATTTCACCACGGAATAGCGTTTTCATCATGCCACCTAACTTATGAACAGAGGATAATGACTGACAGGTAACAAAACTGGGTTATACGAATGGAAGGTAAAGACGATCCTGGCCAGATGCATGAGGATGTAGAGAAAAAGCAGCATCTGAACTACGCGAATGACAAAGACTAGAAGTATCGGGGTAATAGCATTTCCTACTCTAGTTATCCACGTCGTTGTCCATTAAGATGGATGAGGGCATTTATCAATGTCGCTCTGACTTATATACGTTTGGCTTATTGATTCGATAAAGGTTCTTACAAGTACGCGGCTCATTTTGCGTTTCAATTAAACCTACCCTGACGGCAGCTCAGTCTCCTGAAATAAAAGGGTGGGGGGCTGACCTCCGATCTAGCTTCGGCTTTAACCGTGAGCAACCGTGGTTGTCCACTCCTTCGTACATTGTTCAACTAATAAGAGATACCTCTTTAAGATAAATAAACTAAAATTGAGATATGGTGTATGAGGAGTTCCACTGATACTTCTAAAAGACGCACTGAATTACTACAAAAGTAAACATTCATACTTAAACTCATAAGCACCAGTACAGCAATTTCTAACGCTCATACCGGCATCATATTGTGATGACTGAAATCGACCATTTACCCCAGTTCTGTTGTTAACTGCGTAAAACAAACAAAAATCACTCGTTATATAACCAGAGTTTCGACCGACTTGATATCATCATCATTGGAGTACCGACAAAATGGCAATATCGAAGGTTGAAAATACCGCTGCCGAAGTAAAACTCAGCCACTTAACGCTGCACAAGACATGTTTTCCATAGGATGAAATCAGGTTTCATAGATAAATCGCTTGTCATATGGTCCCTTCCCCTTCCCACAGATGTATCAGAATATTTCGCTTACTTCCTACTTATTAATTAAACGTAAATGTTCCCCTTACTCATTTCAATCATAACTGATCCATTTCAGTACCATATGTCCCAGGCGCTAAGGTAAGGAACTATCGTCGATTTTAAAAAGAAGCTGAGTGTTAACATTTTTGGCGGGGCAACGCAATAACAAAGTTTGTAAAAGAAATGTGATCGTCGAATACAATGAAAGAACAGAACAAACTGGGATTATCAAACTGGTATGTCATGCATGCGACAGCATTTCAATTGACAAAATTTTGGTATCGCTAAAAATCGGAATGTAAGAAGATGCAACGTTGCACACTCGGCGTTTACTTTGGAAATCGGCGTAGCTCTTTTACGAACAAATTTCGTTGGCCTTGACGGTGACAGAGACATGAAAGAACTCAGTTCCTCCCCTTCTCTGATACACTGTATTAAGCATAAACGGACCATTCTGCCATTCTGAGTCGGCATTCTCTGCTCAAAAAAATTTTATCATGTTTTCTTCGAGAATCAATATAGAAAGTGGCCTCATAGTACTTTTGGATACCACAGAAAATGGTCGATTTTGATAGCGACATCAACGTAATCGACCAACAGCGAGAAAGATAAAGCACAACTCTTAACAAAAGAATAGCATTACATCATAGGTAACAAAATCTAAACTTCCCCATCCGCGTTAGAGCTTTCGCCATTAACAAGGCATGGGAGACTAAATTGCTTTTTTCATCTGCAGCAATAAAATTTTGCCCGCTAAGGTCAACTGCGAGTTGTCTTTATCTTGTTTGTTCCATTTTTTATTGCTCTGACAATGACAAAAGATCGAAATTTGTTCTCTGTGTAAGGACCATGTTCTTCGTACTGTATTCAACGTTTCTGCTGCTAAAGTATGACGGTATCGTATTCAAAATCAAATTTACTTTAAACTTTACCGTCTTCAGTCTAACTATTCAGGAAGGATCAGAAGGGAAGAATTTTCAAACACATTCGTGTTACGCCAGCAATCACTCTGAGATAGCGTCGATACGCTGAATTCCATTTACAACTAACCGTATCTATCCTGTGAAATGTCGGACGCTTTAGACAAGTTTCGCATGCATACGGATAAAAATTGTGGGTACTTGTATTGCGCCTGCCACATCGTGACTCCGGACCGATGCGTGATCAACTCAACAAGCGCTAAAGCTCATAACATAGCTATCACTTGCTGAAAATCTATAGCAACTCGTGACCCACCACATTGAACTTGTTTGTAACGTCAACGAAACGTTAAATATATATTTAAGCAACTTATGGTATGTTCACTCAAAACCTTACAGCAGCCTAGCGGAACTATCCCGAACTTGAAACGGCTAGTAAACAAAGTTTCAGAAGAGAAGGACGAAACAACGACAAAAGAATTATTTCAGAGGAGATTTCAGTTTTCAGCAGCCAACACAAAATTAAATGTGATATATCACACGTCATAGTTGTGTCAGCGAACCCAGATATTCAGGGGAACAATATCCGTACAGCAGTTAAGACAAATAATTTGAGATCAAAAGCAAACAGCAGCGCCTTGACGATGTAAGAAAGATGCAAATCTCTTTCCAATAGTTGAACCTCTTGAACTTCCTCAATTAGATATCAACATATCACTTAATATGCATAAAAGTGCGAGAATCCGAAAAAGTGCCAATAAGATTTCATACAAAGCTTCTTCATGATCTGCTTCGGACAGGTGTGCAACGTTTCTTCGTAGAAAATTTTTAGAAACGGCTTAAGTAAACGGTACATTCGCTCACTGTTGTGGAATATGACCGTCAGCAGGCGTTTGATGAAGTCGCTTGTCGATATTGGGTCACTGAAATAATAGTACATGCCTTTCTGCACTGCGCCGCGCAAAACGCTGCTTTACCTTGCCCTTTGCTGGCATCTCGCAACGGCAAGTTAACCGATCCTAACGAACTCAACAGTATTTCTTGCTTATGCTAAAAAATCATAGTCGAAATTTGCCATCGAAAGCCAGAAGGCAAGTGCACGTCATTACGGAGGGCGAAGAACGGCGCAATCAGTAACAGGGAGATCCCAACACAGGTGCGTAGTTCATCACCAGCCGGAGTACTGTCGACTTACGAAACTATGAACACCAGTCTCTA